TCGAAGTCATCAAAATTTTAAAAAGCCTTAAAAATCTCGTCATGTTATAAATAAAAGATGGACTTGGGACAGTGATGGAAGACGAGTGCAGCGTGTTTGATGGGAAACGTACAATTAGTCGCTCCTTCGAAAGCGTCTGAGGACCACCTTATTTTCTTCTTCCCCTTCGTTTGCATGCTATATAAACAGAGAATCAAGGAATACACCAAGTAGCGTCAACTGAAATTCCATAGGCAAGGGATGACAGCAGATCCACTCAACGCACATTAAAAATTAATAGACATTGAATTTTCTCAGCTTTAATTGATCTGCATTTTTGTCTTCAATTACTTGTATGTAACCTTGCTTTTCATTCCAGGGACTGATGCTGAGTTCTGAAACAGCACCTTGGAAGAGTGCTGAGGCACAGCTGGCAGGATCAGAAGAATTTCAGATCCTCCGTGGAAGGTGAGCTTTGCACGACAGCATCAGAAGAGATTAAAATGTGTTGAATGTCAATGCCAATAAAAGGGCTTTTAATTTGGCAGGGCTGTGGCTGAGTAACAGAGCACCTGCTTTGCATGCAGAAGGTCCCAGGTTCAATCCTCAGCATCCGTAGGTGAGAATATATGAACATAAGGAAATAGGAAGAGACTGCTGGGTTAGGTCAATGGCCCATCTAGTCTAGTATCCTGTTCTCACAGTGGCCAAACAGATGCCTATGGGGAAACCAGCAAGCAGGATTTGAGTACAAGAGCACTCCCCCCCCCATGATTTCCACCAACTGGTCTTCAGAAGCATTGCTGCCTCCAGCTGTGGAGGCTGGTAAGTCTAGGGGTGTCTCCACAAATCTAGAGTGGAGTCCCTAAGGTTGTTGGATGGTGTCTGTGATGGACAGCATAGCCAGACTAGAGTCTGGTGATGCAGTTTCTCTGAAACACTGCCAGAGTATTGGAGCCTCTTGCTGATTGGCTCCAGAGTCAGCTAGCCACAGAGGGGGGAGGAACAGCACTTTGTGTGTGGGGGAGAGAATAAAAGGAGCATTTTCTGAGGGAGAGAGTTAGATAGGGCTGGATTTAAGATGAGAGACAGGGTTTGGTTTTGAGACACGGCTACGTTTCAGGTTGGGAGATAGGGAATGAGATAGGGAGAACTGGTTCTGAGTTAAGTTAAACATCCACACTGAGGAAACTACCCATAGCGAGAGGACAGGTTGGATAGGGAGACAGTGTTGAGGGTCTGGGAAGAGTATACAGACAGGAGTGTTCTGGGAGGGCTGAGTCTGAGCCACGAGAGATAGATCCTGTGGGAATTCAGGCTACCAGGGTCTCAGTATAGCCAGAAGGGGAGAGTTCTTCTAGGTACAGAAGACCCCCAGCCCAGTGACAAGGGGTGAGGTGACACCCTGGGTCTGTTGTACCATTTAGAAGACCTCAGGTGTGGGATGGTTAAAAGAGTGGGTAACTGAGGAGAAGTGCCCCTCGCTTATGAACCAAAATATTAAGCTGTGAAAGAAACTGTATGGTGTTGAAAGTATTCAACTGTAATATCTAAGTAACAGAAACTGAGTTGAGCATTTTACCCTCTATTCTAGAAACCTGAACATCTACCACCTGAAGTGTAACAACTGATTTTTAGTAACTGAAGTTTACGAAGAGTTGTGCCTATAGTATTGTGCATAAGCCTGAGACATCTTATAGTTAGTTAAAGTAAACAAGTTAACTTCTACCTGAAAGAACACATTTCCTGACCCACTTTGTTTCATAAACTTCTTTTTGTTTAATAAAGCTTTTCTTGTTTGTTTGACCAGCTCCTGCCAGAGACTATAAATCATTAAGTTTTCCCTCACACAAGTCCCCCACTATATAATCTGTGGTAAATTGTAGAAATTTGTGTAATTAGTGTACTGTGAGGTGGGTCCAAAGCATCTGTAAGGGGTCAAGTTTGCAGAAGGCTGATACCTTCTATGAGGGGTACTCTTACATATTGAGAGCGGCCTCAAATACATATAATTTTCAGATTGTGCTAGTTGTATATGGTTGGCTGAGAAAAGTGTCTAGGAACTGCAGGTTTCTAGTTACACCACGTTTAACACCAGAATTCAGAAGGTTGCCTCCTTCTGCCAGTTATGTGCTTTCCTGGATCTGGCCACTGTCCCCCATGCCCTGGTCGCATCCAGATGGCAACATGCTCCATGTGAGAATGCTGCCTCCCAAAAACATTCAGAAACTTTGCTGATCATATCACCCCTGATTAATTTCACTCTGCACTGGTTTCCAAGAAAGATTGTGTTCAGATCAAAGGAAGTAGTAGGAACTGCTCTATTCTGCCTTTGTCACCCCCTACCTGGAGTCCTGTGTTCAGTTCTGGGCACCACCATTTAAGAAGGATATTGACAAGCTGGAATGTGCGCAGAAGAGGGCAGCCAAGATGATCAAGGGCCTGGAAACCAAGCCTGATGAGGAATGATTGATGGAGTTGGGGGCGTTTAGCCTGGAGAAGAGAAGGCTGAGAGGAAAATATCTTAAGGGCTGTCACATGGAAGATGAATAAAGCTTGTTTTCTGCAGCTCCAGATGGCAGAACCCAAACCAATAGATTCAAATTGCTAGAAAAGAGATTCTGACTCAACATTAAGATGAACTTCCTGATGGTAAGAGCTGTAAAAACTGCTCTACTTCAAGATGCAGTGTCATGGGTTGCCCTGAAGAAGAAGAAGAAGAAGAAGAAGAAGAAGAAGAAGAGGAGGAGGAGTTTGGATTTGATATCCAGCGGCTAACATTCTCCTATCCCTTCCTCCCCCACAACAAACACTCTGTGAGGTGAATGAGGCTGAGAGACTTCAGAGAAGTGTGACTAGCCCAAGGTCACCCAGCAGCTGCATGTGGAGGAGCAGAGACGCGAACCCGGTTCCCCAGATTATGAGACTACCGCTCTTAACCACTATACCACACTGGCTCCCTGAAAGAAGGCAGGGCTGGCTGACACACGAAAAAGCAGCACTCAACACTGCAACATTTTGTTGCAGCTCCCACTTGTTTTCCTGTGTAGCTGAATGCCAGAGGGTACTCAGGTACTCTTTCTCTTTTTGGGGCGCCTGGCAAAACAAAATTGTCAGGGTGGGTGAGTGGATGTGCTGGCAAAAGAGACCTTTCCTCATATGTCTACATAATATTGCCCCCACCCCCATAATGGCACAAAGGCCATTTGGTCTCAATCCAGGCAGCAAAAGTTTTCAATGCATATCCACAGAAGGGTTCCTTTATTTGAATTGTTGGCTGCACCACAAATATTATTGATTTTCAGTTTTATGAATATTCAGTGAATTATGGGTTGATCCGAAAGAAAACATGTCACACCCTGGGAGTATGATCTCTGAGAGATAGAAAGAGGGAGAGGGAGAGGGAGAGGGAGAGGGGGAGAGAGAGAGAGAGAGAGAGAGAGAGAGAGAGAGAGAGAGAAAGTGTGTGGTCTTGCATGTGGGGGTCCCTCCATGCATCATCTATGGAAGGCGAGTGAAAGGATCATCTGTCTTGAGGGGAATGATTGTCCACGCTCTCAGTGAAAGGTCAATGACTGGTGGGTATTAATTAATCCAGCTGGGCACACAGCATTCAAGGTTTAACCGTGTCCACGTTTTTAATAATGATGATAGATTTTAAAGACCAGCCTTTGAGCAATGGAATCCCATCTGTTTCAGGCAGGATCTCTGAAGTTTCCAAACCACCTTTTAGGATGAAATGATGGAATTTTCTTCTCTTTTCAACTGGGACATAGGGCACGGCGGGAGAGTGCAGAAGCAGTTGCGCCAAATGGTTTGATGTGCTTTTTATTGTGATTTCATGCTGAATTTTGTAAACCCATTTCAGATACTGTTTTGGAAAAGGGTAAAAAAACAACAACGGCACAGAAATATTTTAAAGAAATAATACACTTCTGGAGCAAGTGTTTTGACTAAACTGCCTTAGAAAGGGGAAAGGTGTCAATGTGTGAGACACCTGCAAAAGGTTTTCTTGGTGGCTGTGTGTGTGTGGTGGGGTCATCACAGCAGCAATTAAATCAATGCTTTTCTGACAATGCTTATTTGGACCATAGAACATATTATATAGAGCCATGTGCAACTGTGTTTAACAAGTAGTTTGGTCTTTTCTCAAGCAGGGAAACCACCTTCAGCCGTTCCCAAATAGCTCCATAGTAGGGCACAAGCTCTGAACGCCAAATAGTCTCAGGTTCAGTCCTCAGTTTCTTCAGGGTAATAGTCAAGTAGCAGACCTTTGTTTCACACCCCAAAGAACTGCTGTCAGTCACAGTCAACTGGGGACCAGTTAACCTGTGAGATCACCTTACCTGAAGGTGACCCAGAAACTACAACTAATCCAGAATGCAGCAGCTAGACTAGTGACAGGGAGCAGCCACTGAGACCACATAACACTGGTCTTGAAAGACCTACACTGGCTCCCAGTACGTTTCTGAGCACAGTTCAAAGTGTTGGTGCTGACCTTTAAAGCCCTAAACGGCCTCGGTCCAGTATACCTGAAGGAGCATCTCCACCCCCATCGTTCTGCCCGGACACTGAGGTCCAGCGCTGAGAGCCTTCTGCCGGTTCCCTTGCTGCAAGAAGTCAAGTTACTGGGAACCAGGCAGAGGGCCTTCTCAGTAGTGGCACCTGCCCTGTGGAACGCCCTCCCACCATATGTCAAGGAGAAAAACAACTACCAGACTTTTGAAGACATCTGAAGGCAGCCCTGTTTAAGGAAGCTTTTAATGTTTCATAGGCTATTGTATTTTAATACTTTGTTGGAAGCCGCCCAGAGTAGCTGGGGAAACCCAGCCAGATGGGCAGGGTATAAATAAATTATTATTATTATTATTATTATTATTACCCCATATATCTTACTCAGTTGCTCTGATCTGCAAAACTGGTACCACAGAATGCCAATTCCACATTTGTTAGATATTTGATCTTTCAATGCGATAGCACACACACTTTGGAACTGCCTGCCTATTGACCTCAGGCATACGGCGTAGCTCAGTTGGTTAGAGTGTTTTGCTGATAACACCAAGGTTGAGGGTTCAATCCCCCATAAGGGACAGGTGCGTATTCCTGCATTGCAGGGGTTGGACTAGCTGATCCTCAGGGTTCCTTCTAACTCCAAGAAGCAGCATTTCTCCGCAGAATGATTTTTCCATACAAATATTTGGCCCAGTGTGAATACTGGGAAAGCAGGCTTCTATGAAAGGTGCTTTCATTGTACAGAGGTACCTCGGGTTAAGTACTTAATTCGTTCCGGAGGTCCGTTCCTAACCTGAAACTGTTCTTAACCTGAAGCACCACTTTAGCTAATGGGGCCTCCCACTGCTGCCACGCCGCTGCCGCGCGATTTCTGTTCTCATCCTGAAGCAAGAACTGAAGCAAAGTTCTTAACCCGAGGTACTATTTCTGGGTTAAGAACTGTCTGTAACCTGAAGCGTATGTAACCTGAAGCGTATGTAAGCTGAAGCATATGTAACCCGAGGTACCACTGTACTTTTTTGTGGTGCCTACTAAAAACACTTTTGTTCAGACAAATCCACCCAAATATAGGGAAGGTTTAATATGTTTTTAGTTCATCACTGATTTCAATTTTTCTATGTTTTAAATAGTTGCTTTTGAATGTTTTGCTTTCTTCTTTCTGTAAACTGCTTTGTGGGTTCTTTTTTTTTTGCAATCAAGTATAAATTTATGAAATAAAAATAAATAGCAGGCAATAGTTGGCTGGTAGGAGCCATGATCTGACTTAGTTTAAGGCTGCTCCAGATGTATGCAGAGACATAAGAAGAAGTCTTGCTGGATCAGACTGAAGGACCATGTAGTTCAGCAACCTGTTCCCACAGTGGCAGCCCAGATGCCCCAATGGGAAGCTCTGAAGCAGGACACACCCACAATTTCACTTTTCTCCTTATGGTCTCTAGCGACTGGTATTCGGAGCTGAGCAGCCTCTAAATACCGAAGGCAACATAGCTCTCATGACATTCAACGAAAGACATTTCTCTGAGGGCATAGCCATGTTCTCCAAACTTTCTCTAGTTCTAGAAGTTTCCAGTGCTTCAGAAACCCTTCAGTGACAAGTAGGAAACGAGCTCCAATAAATTCCATCTGGAGCCAGGCTAAGTTCTTGCTGGTGTCTCTGAACACTTTTGAATGACCAGTGTGAGCCTCTGCAGCCGCACTATAGTCCATCAAGGACATCTTTAAGATGCACATCCTCTGCAAATGATAATCTTTAGTCACTTCTATCGCTTTCACTTGGAGTGTTAACACCTTTATTTCAGCTCACTCTTCCATTCAAAGCAGTGGCTCTTCCCCCCCCCCCTTCTTCTTCTTTTTTTTTTACTGTAGGAAATATCAATACTAATTTGGACCTCTAATTGAACAAAAACAGCAGATGTGAAGTTGATAAATAAAAGGTCTTCTTGCTGTCTCTTGGGTGTTCTCCAGCCTACTCCTTATTTCTGAAGCATCTCTCATTGCTGTTTCTATTTTGACCTTCAGATGCTGTAACTACATGGCTCCTATTGTACATCCCTTCTCTCTCCCCCCCCCCCGCCACCCTATTTCTCTGCCTACTCACAGAAACCTAAATGGTGGGTGCCGTTTTTTGTCCTGATAAAGTCACTCGTTAGAGCTATTCCTAGTAGACATTTGGGTCTTAAAACTGCACTCCTTTACAGAGGCCTGTGTTGCATTTACTGCTTGTCGATTTTGGTTCTAAAAGGGAGAGGGAGAGAGAGGGAGAGAGAAGAGAAAGGAGAGAGAGAGAGAGAGAGAGAAGAGAAAGGAGAGAGAGAGAGAGAACTCAGCCTCTCTGCAGGAGTTGCCCAGCCTGTCCATTTATTCTGTATCCAGTCCCATCAAGCATACAATTACTGTAACTAAAGTTATAAACTCTTCTGTTTGAGAGTCTTTTTATGGGTCACTTAGGATAAACTACTTACACAACAGCAACTGCTTGGGTAGGGCCTTTTTTACATGCATCAGGAGGTGAGCTCGGTTTCAACAATGAGCAAGTTCGCCCTGCACTCCAGCCCTCTCTCAAATGGATAATTCTGGTGATCTTTCTGACAGCCATGCTTTAGATTTTGATTTATGTTCTTCTAAAGCTAAAATCAAAGATTCCATCTAGCGCTATTTTATGGCAGCTGAGATGATGAATGGCGGACTCTTTCAGCACCAACGAAGCTGCTGTGTCTTTGCCCTGGATTTTAATTGCTGAAGTAGCCAGTCATTGCTCAGAATTCAATGGTAAGCAGACTTTTTAGAAAACTACAGAGATGGTCCTTTCCAGGAGGAGGAGAGAGGGGAGGAGAAGGAAAAAAAAAAAAGGAAACAGGAGTACTGTTAACTTCTCTTTAATCATTCATGGGTTAGCTGGGGTGCCCAACAAAAAGAGCACGACTAATGCCATCTATATTAAATTAAACTTTTAAGTGCAAATTAACATGCATATTTCATGTTTATAAATTGCTTCTAATACAATGTGACATTTGTTTCTTTTAAGAAATGCGGGCGTTGGGGTTGGCGGTGTGTGACTCGTGTCGTATTGGGTGAAGAGG